GACAAACAAGGGCCGCAGTTTGGAGACCACTGCTGTAGATCAAAAAAAAAAAAGGAATGTCTGGGAGGCCACACTAAAGCACATATCCAATTTATTATATAGAAAAGCAGCTAAAAAACAGCAGGTGACCAACATCCTCCATATCAACTGATGGCATCATTGGTTGTTAGGAGGCTGGCAGCTAAAAGGTTGTAATGGCGCACAATGAAAAATTTGTAGGTACATGGCATCCTTATTTGACCCTCCCCTGCCCCTCTCTAACAGTAATGGGATCACATTAGCTGAGTGATAGAGAGAAACTGAGGGAGAAGAGAAACAATGGAATACTACTGAGTATACGTGTGCAAAAGTGTGCTTGCCTTAGAAGAATAAACCCCCTCTAACTTTGGGTGTCCTACACGTGTGGGTATGGTTACATTAAAGGGATACTAAACCTAGGACCCTGCATTCACTATATCTAGTCTCCCACAGTACACAAAACATGGAAATGCAATTATTTTAGTAAATATAAACCGCTAAATACCTTTTCTCATCAGCAGTTAGAGCAGTCTTGTGACTTCAGCAGAGCACTGGTTAAAGCTTGTAGGAGGAGGTTTTTTTTTTCTGCTCTAGGAGGATGGGAAACCCCTGACCCTCTGTCTGGACAGTGCTGATTGGTCCTGTGCTAATCACATGCACCCGCCCAAGAAAAAAAAAAAAAAAAAAAAAAAAAAAACAAAACAAAACCCACACACAACAAAACCTCTCTAGCAATAAACACCGAACTGAGCATGTGACCATGGGTTCATTCTGCATCAGGTGGTCATTTCAACAAGACAAGGGGCAGAGAAGAAAGAATCAAAACAGCCTTTTTACACAATGCAAAGGATTAACCCCTTAGTGCGTATAGCAATCATGCTTTAGTGCATATACAGACTGATTTTACTGTTGTGGGTTTAGTAACACTTTAAGTAAAACTATTAAAATAGATTTTTACATTTTAGAATGGGGTGCCTTGAGACTGTCCAGAATTTTAACCACCTCCCGCCCGCCATATAGTAATATGACGGACGCAAGGTGGTTCTCACATTCTGGGAGGATGTCATATGATGTCCTCCCATTCTCACCGCACATGCGCGGCTCCCGGAGCGCGGCGATCGGTGGTGCGCTGTGTCCCTCAGACACAGCGGATCACCAATCCACAGAAAGAGCCGAAGATGTCGGCTTGGTCATATGATCAGCTGTGTCCAATCACAGCTGATCACATGTAAACACGTTAATGTCGATTATCGCCATTTCTCTCCTCTCGAGCTGTCACGCTGACAGCTCAAGAGGAGAGGAGAGCCGGTCATCGGCATTCCGCGGAGGGGACATCTACACTGATCATCAGAGCATTGATGATCAGTGTAGCCCCAGCAGTGCCACCTGTCAGTGCTCATCAGTGCCAGCTGTCAGTGCTCATCAGTGCCACATATCAGTGCCTATCAGTGCACATCAATGCCACATATCAGTGCCCATCTGAGCTGCCTTTCAGTGTCACCCATCAGTGCCAGTCAGTGCCACCCATCAGTGCCCATCACTGCAGCCTCATTAGCGCACATCAGTGAAGGAGAAAAATCACTTCTTTATAAAATTTTATAACAAAAACTAAGAAAAAAAATTTTTTTTTTTCAAAATTCTGTGGTTTTTGGTTTAAGAAAAAATAAAAAACCCAGAGTTGATTAAATACCACCAAAATAAAGCTCTGTCACAAAAAAAAAAAAAGATAAAAATTTCATATGGGAACAGTGTTGCATGACCGCACAATTGTCAAAGTGCAACAGCGCTGAAAGCTGGAAATTGGCCTGAGCAGGAAGGGGGTATAAGTGCCCTGTAGGCTTGTGGTTAAAGGGTGCCTCAAGATTTATCAAAATTTTAAAAGGGTGCCTTGACAAAACACACACAACATAAAAGTGCGTGAGGTTCCATTCAAAGTTTAACCCCTTAGGGATCCCTGTACCAGCATGAAAAATCCAACAGATCTCCTTTTTACACAAGAGTCTGAATGTGTCTCCCCTCTTTTTGGCCGGATCACTTTTACAATTACATGAATCTGTAATGCGGTGTGATCATCCCCAAGATGCTCGTTAAAGTGACAAGCTACATTTGTGAAAAGACTTTTTGATCACAAACATTATCACAGAGGTGATCACGTAGTCTTCTAGTGGTGCTACCCACATATCGTATATGACAAATTTCACAAGTAATTAAATATATAGGATGTGTGGTATTGCAATTGATAAACCTTTTGATCCTAAAATTACTTTCCACTTACGGTGGACCCAAAACAGTCTCCTCTAACAATACACAAACGTGTGTCTAAAACAAATGTCTAACACTCTGTACAACTATGTCATGCTTGGTTTTGTGACCACAAATGATTCTTTTACAGTTTTGTATTTTAACAATTCTCAGATTTGTTTGTTTTTTTGGTGTATAGTTTTGACATTGTCTAGTGTATCATTTTTAGAGAGGGTGATGCATCAGTCTATGGGTGGTGGCCACAAGGGTTAATATGGCAACAACTGCTACTGATAATTGGGCTATACCAGGGGTGGGCAAACTTTTTGACTTGAGGGCCGCAATGGGTTCATATATTGGACCCGGGGGCCGGACCAAGAGTAGATGAATGATGTGTATGTGTCATCCATAGTAAGTATAGTAATATTCCCCCATAGTAAGCATAGTAATTCATCCCCCATAGAGTAATTCACCCCCCCCCCTATAGTAATTCACCCCCCCCCTATAGTAATTCACCCCCCCTATAGTAATTCATCCCCCCTATAGTAATTCATCCCCCCTATAGTAATTCATCCCCCCTATGTCAATTCAATTCACTTACCTTTGCTCCGCGCGGACCTCTCGCCGTTCCGGTGTAGCATGAAAATCTGTCTCCTACGAGGATCTGTCCCCCTTGACGTATCTGCGCATGTGCCAGTTTCAGGCATTAGCAGCCGATCCGCGATCTCCGGCACATGCGCAGATACGTCGAGGGGGACAGATCCTCATAGGAGACAGATTTTTGTTCAGGGCGGACTGTGAGAGGAGCCTAGCGGGAGCCTAGCTCCGCGGGGCGGATTAAAAGGTCCGCCGGGCCGTAGTTTGCCCATTGCTGGGCTATACAGTACTTCCCCATATATAGATGTTTGCATTCCTGTTGTGGGTTATGACTAAGCACTGAGGTTAGCATGATAAGTGTAGATCTTTTTTTCCTCACTGGCATACAGTATGGTGTTTTTAAGCTGCTTTTCTATACAATAAAGTGGATATGTGCTTTAGTGCGATCTCCCGGACTTTCCTTTGATCTATAGCACAAGTGTGCAAACTAGACCAGCACACACACTGGATTCTGGCGTGTGGGAGTGGTGAGCCTACATGGAGCAGTGCCACCTTCTCTTTTTAAGATATCCTGCGTTACTCAATGAACAAAAACGAAAATAGGATTTTTGTACCCATAGTAAAATCCTAAAAATCCTACTCCTAGTAAAATCTTTTTTTATGGGGCCACTGATGGACACAGATCTCACTCCTCTGTTTTAATTATCATGCCCTTGGTACGTTTTTTTTTTTTTTCTTCTTCTACACAAAACGTGTATGTTGGTAGTAGCCTCTAGCATGGGCTGGCCTACAACTTTTGTTTGCCAGTGTTCAATCCTCCTGGTGGCAGTAGAACCAAATGGATTTAAATACACTCTGTCACTCATTGAACTACAAGACAATTTTACAGGGAGTAAAAAATCCCTTTGTCATCATTAGGGCTTGTGTCAAGAGCTGTATGGGAATGCATAACCCATTTAAAGTGAGCAAAAGCCCATAGACATAGATCCTAACTTTGTTTTAGCAGATGGTAGTAGGTATGCTGGGATTTTTAATGTCATATCTATAAGTTCCATATAAGAGGAGAGCAGAACATGAACAACATGCACAGGACCATACCAATATCCGTATTGTGAGATACCGAAGCTTGTGTCTCTGGAAACTTGTCTGTAAGTTTTAATAATTTGCCTTTGTATCACAGTGTAATGCAGCCAGGCTGCAGCATGCAGAATCAGTGCACAGGTAAGTGAAGGATTCGATGTGTTTACAATAATCACTTTCATCCAGGGACTGCATAGACCCGTCAACTTGTCATATTTCAACTAATAACACTTTACACGAACTGAATTGGCAGCAAGCACTTTGCAGAGCCCCGGGGCCAGAACAATCTGTGCTTACACCACTTCTGCTCCAAGACAAAATTACTGGTGCATGTTCACAGGTGGAAACAAGCCACTTCACACCTGCTGCTATGTTACCCACAGCACAGGAGAGTAACAAGACGGCTGCCATAGAACATCTTAGTTCTATACTAATCTCTTTCCACAAGATTAAATAAAATCAATTCAGTCTCATGTGAAACCAGACCACAGTGTAGTAGATCATTATCAAACATTGTTCTGCAGTGCAAAATCTATACCGTGTTCAAAGTGTAAAATTACCAGTTTTGTTTTAAAATTTCAAACTGCACAGATTTAGATGCTGCACAATAGTACTCAAAAAAGGCACAGAAACTGTTACACGGTTATTAGTACAATTTGGTGTGTATGTGTATAATACACACACCGATCACACAATCATTTTTTTTTACCAATCACTGACTCTGTTCTTTCAGAAAAGGAAAGGGCTGGTAAATGACACTTCGCAACCTCTTTCCCTCTCTCCATCCTGACACAGTACAAATGGGCCCGAGGGCAGCAGGACCTGGATAGCAGGGGTGACATAGAGGAACCCAGATCCCCTCCCATTTTCCTCCTACAGACACCGAATACCTGCAGGAGGGAGACTAGAAGAAGGAGGCGTTCAGTGGCTGCAAGAGGAAAATTAATGGGATCAGTTCCTCTATATGTTGGCCCTCCTGTCCAGGTGTACAGGGGAGCCACACACAAAACACATACATACCACACAATTTTATGCAAAAAAGTGTTGGGTTACAGGACTCTTACCATCTCAGAGGAAGCCGCTTTATAAACTCCATACCTTGATTGCAAACGGAACAAAAAAATATAAAAAATCTGGCAGGGAAAAAAAGAGAACACAAACAACTACAGTGAGACTAATGTTGCAAAAGTGTAACATCTATGTAATATCACAACTGCATGAACAAAAATGTATACATATATAAACAACATTTTTTGCAGAAACGCAGTAAAGTCCATTTCCTATGGGACAGGTTCACATCTCCACGTTTTCACCCGGTGTGTTTTTTGGAAAGCGTCAGGGACTTTAACACAACGCTGCATTTTTATTTCTATAGACTTCAAATGGGAACGTTGCAGAAAAGCATGTATTGCGTTTTTGCGGCATTTTGCATTTAAAATCTGCCTAGCAACAAGAAAAAAACAAAAAAAACCCAAAAAAAAAAACGCATCAAAACGCAATGCATCAAACGCAACCTGCATAGGTGTGAACCTAGACTAAATTCAATTTCACTGCACTATAAAATTAAAAAAAAAAAAAAAAAAAAAAAAAACATAGTGATGCACCGATATCAGTGCCGATACCGAGTATATTCACAAATACTTGTACTTGTGAAAATGCTCCTGATATCCAAAACCGATACTTCGCAGTGCGATTTGCATTCATACAAAATGTATGGAAGCAAAATTACACCGCAAAGAATAGCATGCAATTTGAACAGGAATTCGATTCCTGTCCACATTGCATGTGGTTTCACCACTGTTCCTGTTTATACCCAGGCTCATCATAGCCAGAATTCACACTGGAGCAGTGCGGGAAACCTCCCTGCACCGATCCCATGCTGTCACAGAAGGAAAAGCCGCTTCACAGGTCTGGGGATTTTAAATTCCCATGGCTTTCTCTCCTCTCCGTGCAGGGATGACAGTATGGGCTAGACTGCTTTTGACCATGATGGTGCTGACCAACCAGAAGCCGCCTAGCCTGTACTGTAATCCCTGCAAGGAGAGGAGAGAAAGCCACAGGAATTTAAAATCCCCAAACCAGTGAAGCAGCTTTTCCTTCTGCTCTGGTTCCCACCAGTGTGACTTATCATGCGACCTGACAGTTTCAAATTGCAGCACAACTTGCACCCTATTATCAGCAATGGAACTGATCAAAGCGGTGCGAATCCAACGTTGCGGTGCTGCACCGATTTGAAAAAAGGTACCTGCACTATTTTTTGCAATTTCAAGTAAAACTTCCATAGACATCTGTGCATGAAGTTGTACCTGAAATCACACTGACATGCAGCTTTGAAATTATGCGACTTCAAGTGATTTCAAAGTCGAACCCAGAGTAAACCAGGGCTCTGTGACAGCATGGGATTGGTGCAGGGAGATTTCCCACACTGCTCCTGTGTGAACGCAGGCTATGACAAGCCTGCATTCACACAGCAGCAGTGGGAAAACCGCATGCAGTTTGGACATGTATCTCATTCCTGTTCAAATCGCATGCTATTCTTTGTGGCGCAATTAGCGTCCATACATTTCGTATGGACACAAATCGTACCACAAAAGTATTGGTACTTGGTATTGGCGAGTACTTGACCGAAAGTACCGGTACTCATACTCACTGATCAGAAAAAAAAGGGTATTGGTGCATCCCTAATAAAATAGTTATAAGGGAGAGAAAGGCATTTAAGTGATATGCTATTCTTATGGAGAAAAAATTCACCACAGGCTGAAAGAGCAGATTATGAGCAGACAAACTGCAGGCTGTGTACTTGGTTTCTACTATCACAATATTTTTTATTACATTATGTTGTTTGTTACCTAGTACAGCATTGTCTCCATGCCTGTCCGTAGCCTAAGAACACCAAAGCGTAATGGGACCCATAGATTTGCGGAAACACAGACGTGCATGCAATTGTTGCTGTGGATAAGTCATGTCACACCTCTGCTTCTCTCTACGGTCACCCACACACAGATGGAAGCAGAGGGGATTAAAACGATTTACTACTTGAACAGAGGCTGTCAGAAGCAGGACAGGTTTTTACATTTCACTGTTTTATAGGGATCCAAGAGGCCCCTCGTAGGGTCAGTTTAGATCTGTAACCAGTCAGCAGGCTCCAGCCATCCACAGCACACTGGGCCATGGGGCGGCCATCATGTTTTCGGAGCTGAACGGGTTAACGTGGAGAACTTGCTGCTCCCTGGAAAGGCGGGAAAGTCTCATTTACTGTGAAAGGCCCTCTGCCTGGTCTCTCAGGAATGTGGAAGAATGTACAGAATGCCATTGAGCTGAGGAAACCACAGTGAACTCATTCTGAGAAACATTGCTTCAAAGTGACTGTGCGCTGAGCCCGGCTGCCCTCTGCCAGAGACCGCCAACAATCACTGGACAGCGGCCTGGATGCGCAAAATAAAATCCAACAAAATGAAAAATTACTTGATGCTGCTTGAATTTTAGGTAGGCTTAGTACACCAAAAAGGTAGCAGATGGACATTTCCTAGGAGATCAGACAGGTTATGGAACCAAAAGTCTCAGCAATCTCAGCACACAGTGGCTGCAAAAAGTAAGTATACAATCTTCAGGTTATTTTTTTTTTTTTGTAAACAGTACCCAGAGTTGTTAATGCATCTCTCTCTCTCTCATATTTAGTTTGTTTCCTTTGTTTGTTACATTTTATTTAAACACCCATGTCCAATTCTTAGCAGCCAGTAAGCGGTTTTCTGTAGGCATGTCAGTGAAGATAAAAAGGTTTTTGATTGGCGTCTATGGACTAAGGCATCATTAGTGCCAGTAACTATGAGGAGGCATGTTACTGAGAATGAGAATTGCAGGATCTGCCTAGTGCACAAAAAAAAACCAAACACCAAAACAAACCCAAACAAAAACAAAAACCCAACAAACAAACAAAAAACTTGCATCTGTGAGATGGGTTTCTGTCTACATGAGAACAAGACCACTACTGTGGGCATGGATTCAGTAGTAATACTGAGATGGGTCCCCACAGTTCAGTAATGCATGAACAGAGGTCACACCTCCTGCTAAGATCTACCTATATCGGTCATATCAAAGAAAAAAAAATTGACCCTTTCTAGTACTGTCTGACAGTGCAGCTGTAATGAAATCTTCTGGCTTTTCAAACAAATCATCAAAGAGATGCAGAACAATTAATTCACCTGACAGGAAGTCAGCTGTGCTTAGAAAAGTAAACCCCATCACCACCATAGCAAAGCCAAAGCTGGCCATACACATTGCTTTCTTTTCATTCAACCTGTGGGCTGAACAAAAAGCCTGACATATTTCTCCATCCACACTATACAGCGTAGATGATGAATCTCACGCTACAGCTATTGTATTTTGACAGCTGGCCCTGATGGCCGTCAAATTTGCAGACAACATCTGAATTGGAGGAGTAAAGGCTCCAAAAGGAGTAAAGCCAGCTTAGATCAAATATTTCCTGAACTTTTTGTACTCCATTTTTGTGAATATTACAAATATAACTTGAAACGGACTTCCAGCAGATGCAGCAAGTCCATACACAGTAATTGGTATCTTTATAAAGCAGCAATTATGGCCTTTATGGTGCATTTGTTTTAAAATTACAGGTATTGATTTATCTGCAGTGAATGTCACCACAGTGACTGCTTTATGAATATACCAAAGGGATTAGAAACATGCTTAGGAACGAACACGAACGAAAACACACACACACACACACACACACACACACACACACACACACACACTTCATGGGCCGTTTGGTGCAGTCACTCTGTTTATATATTTTTTTTTCCTTTAAGGACCAGGGCATCTCCAAATGACAGGTTTTTATAAAGGGTTACTAAACCCAGGACCCTGCATTCACTTTATCCAGTCTCCCACAGTACACACACCATGGAAATGCAATTATTTTAGTAAATATAAACGGCTAAATGCCTTTTCTCATCAGCAGTATATAGCAGACTTGTGACTTCTATGAGTATCCAGCCGAACACAGGTTAAAGCTTCTAGGAGGAATTTTCATTTTCCTCTGACAGTCCTATGAGGCTGCATGACCCCTGACCCTCTGTCTTTACAGTGCTGATTGGCCTTGTGCTGATCACATGCACCCTCCCAAAGGGGAAGAAAAAAAAAAAAAAAAAAAAAAAAGACACACTAAACTGAGCATGTGCACAGTGACTAACAGGATCAAACAGCCGTTTTACACAATGCAGAGGATTAACCCCTTAGGTCCACAGTGAGTATAACAAGCATGCTTTACTGCATATACAGACTGATTTTACTGTTGTGGGGTTAGTCACACACACACACACACACTTAAAAACACTTTATAGAAAAAACAAATAGTTTGTAAAGAAATTTTCTGATGAACATGCTCCAATGTCTTAAAATTATCAGATGGGAATATAGTACAGCAGAGCAGCACCCAGAAACGTAGCTAAACACTAATTCGGGAAGACAAATGGCAGCAAAAATGCCTGTACATCCATGTTAGGTCAGATTTTTGTTCACCTATCAGAAGCTAAACAGATTTAAAGTAAATAAAACAAAGCCAGCATCATGGGTTGTATTATTTTACAATACATGGCAGACTGTTTAGTAATCTCAACATTGCTATCATTTTGTCAACATTTGCCTGTAACAGCCAATGATACAAAGTAACAGACTGTAGCACAGCTAGATTATTAAAACAGACCCATATTCCAATGTTCGCATGAAAAAAGCCTTAATAGCAGGCTGGCTGTGCTTTCTTCTGGACAAAATGCTGCATCAGATTTCCTCAAGTAATGGACACTCATGTGAAGCCTAGGCATTTGGTCACATGATCTCTACTGAATTGTAGGATTGGCAGATGCTACCATCAACAGAGCTCACATTTTCAAGTGCCTAGACATTCAGATGTGTGATCAGCACTGCATGGAGCCAGAAGCAGCATTTAATCCAGGAAAGACAAGTATTATTAGTCTTTATTTAAATATTCCAGCAGCATTTTAGGTACAGCTCCAATTCAACATGTGCAGCTTTGATTAGGATCTCCCAACAGAAGTTCTTGTGCTAACATGTTAATGTTTGCTGACTTCTTGGTAAAGAAAGGCCCTCTGTTTTACTACACAGCTCGCATTCCAAACTTTGTGTCTGTATGATATGGCGGAATGAAAACAAGCTGCTGAAACAGCCCCCTTCAGAACAATTTAAAAAAGGTAATAAGCTGTCAGCAGCGAAGCATTTACTGCCTGTTAACAGCTCTGAGCAAAGTGTCAGCAGTCAGGAGACCATATAAATACCCAAAGATTTCCCACACCATGTGGGGGGCTTCATATAATAACTCAGAATTGAGGCACTACCTGTCACCAAACAGCATGGGCTCGTTCAGACACTGGATACATGCTTCATGGAACCACTGCCGACATCGGTAACACTGGATCATCTTCAGGTACCACCTGTTGGAGACAAGAAAATATTCTAATTGGTTTACAGAAAATAACAGACATCTTTATCCTCTACAAATAGGTTTTTATGAATGACCTGTGTTTTATTCAGAGGTCATTGAACGTCAACCCTCCCTTTACATTCACATGGATTAATCCCTCTACATCTTCCAGCTGCTGCAAACAGCAGATTCTGAGTACAAGAAGAGTTAGAGGATTACATTTGTACAGCAATAATGCCCTATTTTGCTTTTCTGTGCAACACATGAAGGGGTCCTGAGGTTTGTGTAGTAATAGTCACAACTTTTCATAAGAAGGAATTACACTTCGGGGTTGAAAACGAATTCTGAAGCTGCAGATCTCTCGTGGGGAAGGGGCAAGATAACACCATGTACTTTGTTAAATGTTAACCACTTCATGACCGGACACTTACCAACTTCCTGCCCTGGCCAATTTTTCAACGCTATCACACTTTGAATGACAATTGCGCGGTCATGCAACACTGTACCCATATGAATTTTTTTGAGACAGACAAGACTTTATTTTGGTGGTATTCACCACTGGGATTTTTTTTTTGCTATATATATGAAAAAGTCAAAAAAATTAAAAAAAAAAAAAAAAAGTGTTTATACAATTTTGCAAATAATATTTCTTCATAAATCTTGGCCAAAAATGTATTCAGTTATTTTAGTAAAAAAAAAAAACAAAAAAAAAAAAAATTAGTTTATAACCAAAAATTATTTAGAAACAAATTTTTACATTTATTTTATTATATTATTTATGTTTTAACATATGGTCACCCTAGCACAGGGATGGCGAACCTTTTTGAGCCCGAGTGCCCAAAACTGCAACACAAACCAACTTTTTTATTTCAAAGTGCCAACACTGCAATTAACCACTTGCCTACCTGGACGCACTGACAGATGGCACTGATCGGTGGCACTGCTGGGCATCATTGATGGGTGGCACTGATGGGCAGCACTGACGGGCGACACTGCTGGGCACTGACAGGTGGCACTGCTGGGCAGCGCTGACAGGCGACACTGCTGGGCAGCGCTGACAGGCGACACTGCTGGGCACTGATGGGCATCATTGATGGGCGGCACTGATGGGCAGCACTGACGGGCGACACTGCTGGGCACTGATGGATGGCACTGCTGGGCATCATTGATGGGTGGCACTGATGGGCGATACTGCTGGGCACTGACATGTGGCCCTGATGGGCAGCACTGATGGGCACTGATGGGCAGCATTGATGGGCAGCACTGATGGGCACTGACATGTGGCACTGCTGGGCAGCACTGACAGGTGGCACTACTGGGCACAGATGGATGGCACTGCTGGGCATCATTGATGGGTGGCACTGCTGGGCACTGACAGGCGACACTGCTGGGCACTGATGGATGACACTGCAAGCAGTTAATCTCACCTCTGGCAGCGTTGGTGTGGCTTCCAACCCGGCAGCTCATTCCCATTCACGCTGAGCACGTTGCCCCTGGCCCGGGAGCAGTGTGGGAGCCTCTTCCTCTCTTCCGCGCCCATCCCCGGGTACATCACCCCTGGTGCCAGAGCCGCATTGGAGCCGCTTCCTCTCGTCCACGCCCACCCTCGCCCCAGAGACATGTGGGAAATGTAGTTTGATGGGGGTCCAGTGTGGACGAGATCTGGATGGCCGGTCAGTGTGCGCTCATCATCCTCTTCTTCCTGGCGTGCCCACTGAGATGGCTCTGCGTGCCAGCTCTGGCACGCGTGCCATAGGTTCGCCATCACTGCCCTAGCAGTACAGTGTACTACTTGTGGGGGGGGGTGATATTTTTTTTTTTTTTTGTTTACACAGATTGATTTTACACCCATAAAAGCAATCTTTTCTCCTTCTCTCTGGCTGCATTCTTGCAGACATTGAGAAATACTGTGAGCTGTGATTGGTCACAGCTTGTCACATGGTACAAGGCTGTTTTGAATAGCCTTGTACCATGTGATCTCTGTGATCATTCACAGATTTCACACGTAGTAAGCAATGATGTCAGAAGTGACATCTTGCTTACACCTATTCGCCAATCAATGATCACATGATCGGGACCTCACACAGAGGTACCGTACAGTGTTCGGTGTTCCACCGTGTCTGGCGGACACCGGATCGTGGTGCCGCACGCTCCCAGGGGAGTGCGCGCAGTCCAAAATGGCAGGCGCCGTTTATGAACGGCAACCAGCCCCTGCACTGCCACCGTCTGGGTTATATACAGCGGCCGGACAGGAAGTGGTTAATACCTATCTTCGAAGAGGTTGACTTTTATTCTCAAAGGGTGACAAGTTGGAGGAATAACAGTGTAATGTTTGGAATATATCCCCCCTCCCCATGTACACTGTATAAAGTATCACCATATGTAAAAACAGAGGAAATAACTCACTAAAAACACACAGCAGAAAAGATCACAAACGGCTCTCAGACACAGCACAGGAAATAAGGCAAGATTTATACTAAACACTGACAGCTCATTAAACACACAAAATACTTCATATAGAGGAGTTTATATCCATTATATTACATATAAGAGCACCAAAGGTTTTATCACGACATCTGGTGTGCTAGCAGCTATACATTTCACCCAAGATATGTTAGTTTTAGGTTAAGGGGGTCAGTGACAATTACAGGCTTGAGGATTAAAAGGTGAATACCACACGATAAAAAGGTTATGTTGAAATTTCTGGTGCTACACTCTACAAAAAAATGAGCGAATTATCAGGTGCTAAAGCCAACATACCACACTCCCCTTCCAATGTCTCCTACACGGTCAAGAGATGTCAGATATACAAACACCACTTATAGAGTTTGTGTAAAATCCAGCAACATTCTGTTTTGCATTCCCACAGGAGAATAAATACCAACTGCCAATTTCAAATCAATTTAGCCCAAAATGGCAGTCACATGAGGTTTAAAATAGAAAGGACCCATCCAGGCTACACAGCAAAGACACAAAAATGGCAAATAATTAAATTCCTGCAGAGAAGACATTTACAAAGCTTTTGGAAAATAACTTTTGTTCCATTCTGCTGCCATTTTAAATGTGGGACATCAGTTGAATCTGCAGTACATTATAGGTGTATAGCAGAATGTTTGTCTTACTCTCCGGGCCCTCCGCAGTAACAATAACACTGCTGCTGATTGGTTCGGTGTGGAGAATCCCAGTCCAGCTCCTCTGGATTGTATGTGAGCAACAACTTCACAGCCTGCAATGCCTTGGCAATGGGGCCTTTCTTCAGAGCGCCTCCTTTCTGCAGGAAAAAAAAAGAGCAGCATTACTGACATCTGCAATACATTGTCTATAAAAACACTGTAACTGAAGAAAAAAAAAAAACTGTTTTATTGTTTAAGGGAAAATGTTGGGCTTTGATAACGGCATGTAAAACATACAATATCTAGACAAGACAAATCTAATGTTAAAATAAAATATCCCAGTAAGGGGTTGTCCCTTAAAATGGGGCCCGAGCCCTCAGGTATTAGCACAGATCAGAGATTCTACAGACATGTTAACACCATAGCAAACCTTAAAAAGGGGGACTCCATTATTGTGGGGGAAAAACAAAATTACCTTTTCATTTCAATCTGAGCAACCGTTTTCTGTAAAATTCAATGCAATATGGACACCTAGAGGAGTTCTGTACAGGCTTGGTGTACAGAATGCCCCCAGAAATGCAATTTCCTGCTTGCGTGATTTTTGCCACACCAAAGTGTCATGGCATGTGTACGTCCCGTCACAAGTTCACCTTTTGTAACATGTTATGTTCAGACCAGCCCCCACTCCCCCCAAATCCCCACTTTGACAGCTAGCAGGGGGACCTTCTCCCACCTCGTCATTTGTCAAATTTGAAAAAAAAAAAAAGTGGCTGTGAGGCTCCGCCCACATGGTCGCATCATTTATTCACAGTCATCTGTGATTGAGAGATTACAAATCCCAACAGCCTTAGCGGCTGGTAGTTCATTCATTCTGCCCGTCAGAATATCTATTTGCGCGCACATCCCGTACGACAAGCAGATATTCTGACAGGTCTAAGGGAGACCTGCATGGCATCTGCGATCTACAGATTGCTGGAGCAATGCTTTTCAGGCTCTTGTAGACAAAAATAATAAATGCACATTTTTTTACCTGGGGGGAAAAAAAATAAATAAATAAAAGCGCATTTATTTTTTTTCTAAAAAGGGTGAACTTATCCTTTAAAAGGACTAATTATATATATATATATATATATATATATATATATATATATATAAAAATCTGAATATCTAAATCTGAAACCTATGTCAAGCTACATCACTGCATGCATTCTCAAAGAACAAGTCCTAAACTGGACATAAATGTTTGTCGGCTGTCGCATAAACATGTATGCTCACCTTGCCTTACTTGTTTATACAAATGAAGTACAGAGGAGAAAAGGAGGAAGGCTAGCAGAGAAGAGAAGGGAAAGAGATAAAAAGGTTACAAATTCTGCTTTCTACTGTACAAAGCATACTGCAAGCGCACTGCTGGTATAGAATATGTGGGCTTTCTGACCACATGGGTCCAGGGACTGCTGCATAACTTACAAAGCTGGGGTCTCTGGCCAGCATTTGTGAATCTGCTTTTAGCAAGCCAATTGTGTCTGGAGCTTTTATAGGCTGCCCAAGTTTAATATTTCCAGACACAACCTAATATTGACTTTGGGGTCACCATATACAAGCAACCGTTCACACCCAAGCACTGATGTTTAATATTACTACTGTACTATGCAGATCCTGCCAAAGCCCAGCCTGGTTGACAGCATCCGCAAGCACACTGTTCTCTGTGACCTTGCACACAACAAACTCATTCTCTAACCATTCTGCTAACTAGACTTGGCACTTCATTATAAAGCTGTACAGATTTTTGCTTGGCACGACAGAACATCCATAATCCAGACAGTAATATCCAGCTAAAGAAGGGACCATTGGGGTGTGTGTGCGCACACATGCAACTGCCAGATGCTCGTAACCACAAACCCGCCATAGCTGGCCGATGAGGATACCGGCTTCCTTGGAGTGGGCTGATCTCAGCAAAGGTGAGGAGAGACTAAACAAAATATAAATTGGTTTCTAGAAACAAAGATTAAAGTATGGATAGATAGGCAAAGTTTCATGAGCATATTAGAACAAAACCTTCAAGCGTCTTTTAGTAATCCAATAGAGAAAAATTTGCAACTGACATATCAGCCTTATTAAAAAGTAGAATGAAAAGGCAAAACGTTTTTCAGTTTTGGATAAAATTGGAGAGGGATTACCGTATTTTTCGCACCATAAGACGCACTTTTTTCCCCCCAAAAAAGGGGGGAAAATGTCAGTGCGTCTTATGGAGCGAATATGGCCGCTCAGCTCTACAGCGGGACCTTATAGAGATGACTGCTGACCTTTGGGGAGGGAGGGGGAGCGGGTACCTGAATTTGACAGGTACCCGCTCCCACTTCCGTGGAGTTGTTCTTTCATCTTACCCGTTCCTCTATCCAGCGGCGCGATCTTCCCGGCTTCTGTAGTGTGGGCATGACAGCCGGGTGCCAAGTGCGCATGCGCAGGAAGCGGTGCTTTTTGTGAATGGTAAGGCGGCACCTGGGACACATGACAGATCCCAGAAGCCGCCGGACCAATCACAAAGCACAAGTGCTTCTCGCTTATGCGCACTGGGCACCCGGCTGTCATGCCGAGCGCCATTACAGAAGAAGGGAAGACAGCGCGCGGCTGGATAGAGGAACAGGTAAGATGAAAGAACAACTCCGCGGAAGTGGGAGCGGGTACCTGTCAAATTCAGGTACCCGCTCCCCCCCCTCCCCAAAGGTCAGCAGTCATCCCTGTGCTGTCCGCAGTCTCTGGTCATCCCCTGCACTGTGTCCGCAGTCTCTGGTCATCCCCTGCACTGTGTCCGCAGTCTCTGGTCATCCCCTGCACTGTGTCCGCAGTCTCTGGTCATCCCCTGCACTGTGTCCGCAGTCTCTGGTCATCCCCTGCACTGTGTCCGCAGTCTCTGGTCATCCCCTGCACTGTGTCCGCAGTCTCTGGTCATCCCCTGCACTGTGTCCGCAGTCTCTGGTCATCCCCTGCACTGTGTCCGCAGTCTCTGGTCATCTCCTGCACTGTGTCCGCAGTCTCTGGTCATCTCCTGCACTGTGTCCGCAGTCTCTGGTCATCTCCTGTACTGTGTCCGCAGTCTCTGGTCATCTCCTGTACTGTGTCCGCAGTCTCTGGTCATCTCCTGTACTATGTCTGCAGTCCATTAGTTCAGAATTTTTTTTCCCTGTTTTCTGCCTCTAAAACCTAGGTGCGTCTTATGGAGCGAAAAATACGGTACATATTTTTTGGCCCGTATACACAGAGCCGAAGTAGGAGCGGGTACCTGTCAAAACCAGATATCCGCTCCTTGCTCCCCCAAAAAGATGCCAAAACATGGCAGTGGGGAAAGGCAAACAAACAGAGCTTCCACTTTTGGGTGGAACTCCACTTTAAGCGGATTAGACTGATAACAGCAAGATAAAATGGGGGAAATCTTTTCTTACCCGGACAGCCAGCACGAAGATGCAGCGCCTGCAGAACCAAGGCTCTAGAACACTGTGCTCCTCATTCTCCACATCAGGTATGTGGCACTTTTGGTGGTACCCTGAAATACATTAAGAATACTTATTACAACTTCCACAACTACAAGACCTCCAAGGAAACCCACCACTGAGAAAAAGCACCTACAGTATGCTATTAAGCTCTGCTGCTAAAAACAAGAAAGACAACCGTACAACTGTAACCATTTATATTTCTTTATTATAACAGCTCTACTTTTACCTCTCCTAATATGAAAAGCAACCTCTGCACAAATTGTACCAACACCCTCACATAGGAACCTTCCTAGCGGTCTGATTATGTCAGTATTTCTGTGCTCAAAGCGGTACATTTTTTTGCATGGAAATATGTATTTTTTTTATTGTAGGCCTGTAATTTTTGGGAATAACTCACTGAAATCTGGCTGAACAAGAGTCTAGTAAACATATGTTAAAATTTGAAACACAAAAATCATAAATAATTGAATAATCATAAAAAAAATGTAATAAAATTCAATATAATCAAACCAAAAACACTGAAATTCGAAATATAGCGCCAAGTTCGCACATCACTGAGCAAAGTCGCTAAATCGTTTTCAGTGTCTGATGATGAATTTCCCCACAAATCATTATCACTCAATTCTGCATGTGGTTCTAATTTACTATCGCTGTTTTCTAGCTGGTCTAAAACTGCTTTTGACCTAAAGGGACGCTTTTTAAACGCCATGGACATTTCTCAGTTTTCAGGCAGAAAGAACAGTAAATATGCAGGCAGGGCACAGGACAATGCACTAGGGACAAAATGTATGTGAAATGCTTTGATACAGTAATGTTTTACTATATTTAGTGAATGTCACTTTTTGACATTTTTAAATTTCCCGCCGGTTCCGTCCCCGTACATCCTGACGTCGCAGGGAACGGAACCCGGAAGACAGATGCCGGCATCCACCGGAGGACATTGCCGGGGACACTGCAGGGGGGACATTGCGGGAGCGCAGGACAAGGTAAGTGCAGAAGGGATCCTGGAGCAACGCTGCAGGGTATTCCCGAGTGTAGCTCGGGGTTACCACTTGTGGTGCTGAAACTTTACCCCGAGCTACTCTCGTGAACACCGCCAGGGAGGTTAAGTGTATATGCCGAATCTCACAATATATTGGCTGACAGCACAGCTGGAGCTAAGCATTAGAAGCCTGCACTGCATCATGGGAACTGAGCCTTTCCTAGGTTTCAAAATGTTCAACTGTAACGGACTTAGCATGACTGATCATTTTCGGTGCTGAAATGTCAGTGTAGGAGTGTTATGTCCTCAAAACCAAGAAGCCAAATGCAATTCTATAGGAATTTTATTTACCAAAAAGGATGAGGTCAAATGATTAGGAAGAGACCTTTTGATCCTCATCCATGTCCTTTTCCCAGAAACCAACATACCATGAAGAGGAGTTAGGGTCATACGTCATCCACACCCCAAAATTAGAAATATGTGCATGTCCCTGGCAGCTGGAGACACCAAAGCTGGTGCTTAGGAGAGTTCCTTTTTTTTTTTTTCTTTTTAACCCCCCCACGTTTCTGTGTGACCCATGTGCAGATATTTTGGGAAGAAAAGACAGGATTGGGAAAAGGTCGGATGTAAAGACTCACAGATGTTTCTCATACATTCCTGACAACAGTCGCACTTTGCTTAAATGCACAGCACAGACAATAGGAAATCTCAACTTCCAGTATATTTCCCACAAAGGGTGAACCAGTGGATGGTGGAGCAGAGAGAGCTGGAACTTAACAGAAACCTGGCATGGTCAACCTTCCCTCTGAAAATGCTAGCCGTCAGGTTGTCACAATAACCTGTTTACCATTATCATTGAAAGTGAAAGAAAATCCCAAATTTTGGTCTGTCCCCAAAAACATAATAGTAGGGAAATCGTACGATATGGGAAATCCGATGATTCATATGGTCTGTCAAATCTGTAAAAAAAATGCCAATTTCCAAAGCTAGTCAGTGTTTGATAAAAGTGGTTTGGGTCGATTCTTTTCTGTAAGAAATGAATTTATTTCTTCCAGGAGCTGAAAGACGCGTGAAAGAACTGTTCTAAAACATAGCCATAGAACTGCTGTGTAATAAGTCAAGTCTAAATACTTTGAATCAATTTCTTTCAGAAAACCATGAAACTGGCGAGGATTAAGCCCATAAGATCAAATGAAAATTCACTTTTGAAACAGGTTTCAGAACGCAGGACATATCCATATAATTTTCCACACAATGCTTGTTAATGGATAATGCAGTGCAGAAACATGGGCTTTGAGAATCCGCCAACCAGAAACGTTTGTGATTTGTCCAACCAAACCTTTCTTTGCCCCAGACACATTTTTTTTCCTCCATAAATTGTCACGCATTGCAGTTTATTCCACTCCAGGTTATATTGTCAGGTTTTGGCAGTTCTTTGAAGATGTCTTCTCCAGTTACTGTGCATGCTATGCACTGATGCCAATTCTTGTGTAACATTAACTTCACTGTCAACACCACGAATGAACACTAAACGTTGTGATTATATCACACACATCAGTTGATTCATCAAGTGCAAGAGAATGAACCCACATATTTTTTGCTTGGTCTGCAATTTGAGTATTTATATTGCTTCCTATATCATCAATTCTATGAGTATTTGGTGCAAGACTTATAGTTTTGAAAAGATTTACTTTTTCTGGGCATAACTCTTCCACTGCTTCCATTATACACTCCTTTATGGGATCCCCATCAGTGAATGGCTTTCCTCTTTTAGCCAATGCATAATCTACTTTGTAACTGGCCCTGGTAAAAGCTTTATTTTCACTTTTCTTTTGTGTAAACAGGGCTTTTTGGGAAAACAAATTGTGTTGCATTGATTTAAATTTTTCTGAACGCTGTGTTCCTGTGAATTTGGAATAACGTTGTTCATGTTTTGTCTCATAGTGCCGACGCAAATTGTACTCCTTCAAAACTGCAACAGTTTCGTTGTATATGAGACACAAGGCTTTATCGCCTGTTTGTACAAAAAAGTACTTTATGCTCCATTGTTCATTAACCAGGATGCACTCACTGTCTTTTTTTCCCCTTCCATACTTTACTGAAGAGATATCTGAACAAGTAAAGGATTTGAGATTTTACCCTCACATCAGAATCCAAAACTTCGTCCACCATTACAACAAAGTCCCCCCCTTACATCAGTGTCCCCATCAGCGCCTTTCCGCACATCCACGCGGAATCAGAATCTCCCCCATATCAGTGTCGCCAATCAGATTCTCCCCCATATCAGTTCGCCAATCAGATTCTCCCCCATATCAATGTGCTGCAATATAGACTGGGAGAAAATACCGAAAAGGGATTTTTAAAAAGCTAGTTGGTATGGGAGCAAGTTTAAATTGGTTGTAAACGCTTACATATACAGAGTGAAGTGACTAGCCTCAGGTGATACACAGCTGTATTTTCTTCTCTACATCCAGTCAAAGTCCAGAATTTATAAAGAATGTCTGAGCCGTCAGAAAAATGAGGAAAGAAAGGGGACATTAAACTCTGCAGAGCTCAATGAGGAGAGCTATGAGAGTTCACTGGAGAGAAGGGACACATTCCCTTCACACAAAGCTATCAATCTACTGGAGATCCCTCCCCTGCCACCTTTTTTCTCTTGGTGTCAGGAAAATATGTCAGAAGCCACTCATGCAGAAAGCAGAGAAACAAAGCAACAGACAGAAATGACGCTTAATGCTCTGGATAGAGACAAGTACACACTACAGAGGAATATGCTTTTTTTTTTTTCATATTTCATGTCGGAGGTTCACAGCCACTTTACGATTAGACAGGTTTAGACCTAACTTCTATTTTTATGACAATAAGAACAAAAGCACAAGGTCCTGGCTGAGATGGAACAAAGAAACCACCTCAGTTCAAAAGGATGGCTGAGACCATAGAATCATCTTGTCACAATGAAACATCAGGAATGATTTCTTACAGGAAAAGTAGACAATCATGAAAATTTGCAAACTAAAGCAATGGGGAAAAAAAAAAAATAAATAAATAAAAAATTACTTCCAACGTAGAAAAACTAAAAGTAATGGGGGCAATATTTCTGCAATACAGAAAAGTACCAAGTTGATGTCCCACAGAGTCAATGGAGTCTTAAAGACGCACCAATGAATGTGAAGCAACAGGTCCCTGGAGGAGGACCGCCAAGGCCAAAATCTGACCTTTAATTGTACTCCATGCAAGACCCAGATTACCGTCAGACTAGGGAAAAGCCAGAATGCTACCTGCAACATATTTGCAAAGATGAAATCCGCTAGCCTTGCACCAAGCAAAATGAGATTTCAAAATCCCGTGGGGAATCCTTGACAGTCACACTGAACATGGATGTCAGAATATCCACATCCGGGGTACCCAGTGATTTCCAGAGCTCTTCAAACACCTCTGGGAGAAAAGCCCACTTCCCTGGAGACAGCTGTTGACTGCTGAGAAAATCCACCTGCCAATTTTCCAAGCCTGGAATGTGGACTGTGGGAATATGGATTTCTGCTGACCACTGTATGAGGTCCACTTCCTCCTGGCCTGCCTGATTTTTGGTGCCTCTTTGATGGTGCTGTTATCAGTTACATTATTCTAAAGTTTACAGAACCATGCCGCTCTAGGTTATGGACAAAAAGATGGATAGGATTCTATAGTCTTGTTTCTGTTCCCTGAAGCAAAGCCTGGAAAAAGAAAACCCATACAGCCACATCTAAGGACTGTTAGATTTTTGTTTTGCAGTTTAGATATGTTTTAACAACCCATTGCTACCACATTTAAGTTTTGCAGTTATTGTATTTCTATACTCACCCTAGGTTAGAAATACTGGTGATCAGTGAGAGGCATATGCCATGTGTACCCTCCTTATATTAGGATTATTGGTGATCAATGGGAGCCGTGGCACAATGAACAGCCCCCCCCCAAGTAACCAGACTCATTGCACAGAAAGGGACAGTGCCTTTCTGAAATGACATTTGAGCTACTTTATATGGTCAGTTTAGAATCAAACAGTATTTAGCAGAGTTCCGCTTTTCATGTTTAATCAGAGTAGCTGAAAATATAATTTTTTCAGACAATTCAGAAGAGAAATCTACCTACCAAGTCCGCACTTTCCACAGATGAGGATCTGATTGTGGGCCGCAGAGCTCTTCCCGCTACAAACATTACACTTAGGTTCCTCTCCAGGTACGCCAGCTGAAGGAGATATGTTAGGTTAATGGTTAGTCATGAACACTAAAGACAGTGGCAGATAAAAGAGGAGATTTTTCCAATAATAACCAATCACAGTGGCTAAATGTGGGCAGCACTTCTGCCTAGTAGCACTAGGTTTGTCGATTCCAATCCAAACCATGGCACTACCTGCCTGGAGTTTGCACATTCTCCCTGTGACTGCATGGGTTTCCTCCGGGTACTCCGGTTTCCTCCCACACTCCAAAGACACACTGGTACGTTAAATAGCTCCTGTCTAAATTGGCCCTAGTATGTGTATGACTGAATGTGAGTTAAGGACTTTAGACTGTCAGCTGCTTGAGGGTTGGGGACTGATGTGAATGTACTGTATATATGTAAAGTGCTGTGTAAATTGACAGCGCTATACCTATAACAAATAGGTTTTCTTTTTCTATTCTCTGAGAAACTGATGTGAGGAATCTACTATCATCGACACTTTTACTTCATTGTTTTTGGGCTCCAGTCTTGATCAGTGTAATAAGGAACATTCCCTCATATTTGATCATCTTCCCATCTAGCCCAAGATGGGCAGACCTTCATCTATGTCTCCGGACAGTTTTAGTGCTGTTCAGTGAGTTTAACTTCCATAGTCTGATTAAAATTAGGATTTCAGTTTGTAAATGGATAGAAAGCTAGCTAAAAAACCATATTCAGAGAGTAGTAATTAATGATTCATATTCTGCATGGCCTAAGGTTATTAGTGGTGTACTCCAAGGTTCAGGGTTGGGACCCTTACCTTAAAAGGATTATAAATTATACAACATTTTGAATTAAAAGTACAATTTCAGTGTTTGCAGATGACACCAAGCTATGCAAGTGGAATAGTGTCCTTACAGGATGTCTCCGACTTACAAGCCAAACTCAATGCACTATTTGATTGGGAAGATAGATAGACACAACCAGACTGATAAGAGGCATGGATGAGCTCAGCTATGAAGAAAGATTAGCTAAAAAATTAAATTATTCTCAGGTAAGAGGAGGCCTTTAAGGGGGACATGACCACCATATATGACGACATAAGTGGTCCATACAGTGAACTTGGTGTAGAGTTATTTACTTTAAGGTCATTACAAAAGGATAAGGGGGGATCCTAGGGGGTTTATTTACTAAAGCTGGAGAGTCCAAAATCAGACTCCCTTCTGCATAGAAACCAATCAGCTTCCAGGTTTCATTGCCAAAGCTTCATTGAACAAGCTGAGGTTAGAAGCTGATTGGTTTCTATGCAGAAGGGAGTCTGATTTTGGACTCTCCAGCTTTAGTAAATAAACCCCTTTATGTCTGGAGGAAAAGACATTCAACGTTCACATACAGAAAGGCTTCTTCACAGTAAGCTGTAAAAGTGTGGAATAGACTCCTCAAAAACTGTTTCTTGCCAGCTCAGTAGACTTTTTCTGGGGGGGGGGGGGAAATCAGGAAGGAATTTATTTTTCTTCCGCGAAGCAAATTGGATCATGTTTTAGAGGTTTTTTTGCCTTCCTTTGGATCAACTGAGTATAAAGATTATGTGTTGGGAGGTTTTCTATTTATTTGTTACATTTTTTCGATTGGTTGAACTAGATGGACTTTTCTTCCCCAACATGATTATGCAACTGTCAATTGAAAGGAAGAGTAGAGTAAACTGCAGCCAGTTATGGCTGGCTGCAGACTGAAGAAGAGTATGGCGGATTCTCAGATTCCAGTGTCGAGCCACAGCATACATACCATGTTGAATGTCTTTCCAAAGGACCCAGTACTTAGAGTTATCTTCAAATGTCACAAGACAACTCTGCTTTGAACTGCTGACCTGCCAGAAAGAAAGAGCAAAGTAAATTCAGATGGCAGTATGTACAAGTCAAGAAACTGCACAATGCCTCACTAAAAGGAGAAGAGAATGAAATGGGAGCAGAGCAGGAAATGCAGCACCTTATTCACAACCAGGTGACTATGGCATCCATCCAGTGGCTTACGGTCGCCCTACTGTTTTTTGGCCCTTACTTTACTGCAAAACGGAGGCATTCAGTCATAACATGAGGGCATTATTTGGCCAGGCACAGGATCCTCACTATAGGAAATGCTGGCTCCAACATGATTATGTCCCTTCCCATTGTTAGGAATGACAAGGGTGCAGGTAGGTGATCGATCATCAGTGCATGAAGTGACCAGTTCACTTCCAGGAAGAACGAGCCTCTCTTAAGCAAGAAGGCTCCTATCCAAAAAGTCACCGGCATTTCAGACATGAAACGGTTTGTTTCTGAAATTGCAGATCGTCATTTTTGAACCGGCTATTTATGTTATGTGCACAGTTTTAACAAAAGGTCCAAAATATCTAATTTCTCTAGGAGATGGCTGAAGACTTCCCAGCAGCTCACCCTTTTTATCTTCCCCAGATAATAGAGTCCATCCGTCCACCTGCAGAGAACATACTGGCCTTCTGCCTGACTAACCACCAGATCTGGGCAGTCCTGCCCACTCTTCCCAGAGTTTTCCAAGGCAGAGCGCCGCAACCTGCTACAGGCTGGGTAGACATCCCTCAGTGCCAGCTCCAAGCTGCGATTCTCCATTGCCATAGATGGGTCCCTGGAAGAGAAAAAGACATTACTTTCTAAACCCGACAAGCAGAGTATGCCAGTGCTACAAGCCCCAGTGCAGAGTCCCATTGCTACAGATCCCAGTGCATAATCCAGATGTGGGTCCCTCATATAATATTCTACTACAGATCCTATTGCAGTTTCTGGACATTGGACCTCTCATATAACATTCTACTACGAACTGCAGTGTAGATTCTGGACCCAGGCCCCCTCATATCACATCCTACTGGAGACCCAAGTACAGAATCTGGCCACAAGTCCCTCATATCACATCCCACCGCAGAATCTGGACACGGGCCCCTCATATCACATCCCACTACAGGCTCAAGTACAATATCTGGACCCAGGCCCCTCATATCACATCCTACTGGAGACCTACTGTAAGTAGAGAATCTGGGCACAAGCCCCTCATATCACATCCCACCACAGAATTCTGACATAGGCCCCTCATATCACATCCCACTACAGGCACAAGTGCAAAATCTGGACACAGGCCTCTCATATCACATCCCACTACAGGTCCAGAATACAGTGCAGAATATGGATATACAAGGACCTATATTGCTCGGCAGCTCCTGAAAAAGTTGCCCGGCTGTTACTCAAAGTTATGAAGCCAATGGGTCAGTGCAAGTGCTAATCGGCAGTCATATGGCAGAAAAAAAGATCTTAATTGAAGCAATTTCTTTAAATAAATGGTAAAAACAGTGGAGTGAAAATGCAATAAAATTATTAATGCAATAATGTTTCCCAACGACTAGGAAAAGATGCAAAAGGTATAAAAAAAAAGTCACTACTGATGGTCTGTATATTGAGCCCCCCTCTCACTTCCCTGGCCCAATAGTGGCACCCTGCCATCCTTTTTTTTTTTTTTTTTTTAACTACCAATCCCATCTCATTTGGGTCCAGGTAAGGTCAGCTTTTCTCCCGGTATCACTATAATGAACATAGAAAATGGGTTACAGTCAATCTATAACGTTTTATATGTAAAGGGTTAATATGGCTGTTGGTTGCTAGATGTGAGCTGCGGTGCTGCCGTTCTGGATATGAGTCAGTAGCTGGTGAGTCTTCCTGTGTCAAACCATATGACTGAGGCATGCTGGGAAATGTGGAGATGCACAGAACCATAAATACATAAAATTACTCCTATGTTAAAAATTAACAGACCATGCAGAACCGGGGCGCTGGGATCTCAGGGGGTGGGGGGGTTGTGCAAGGGTGACGCGCTCTGTAGATCATAGAATACACATGTACATTAAAAAAATAAATAAATACTGTGATAATCTGGAAAAGGGTAGGCTTGTATAAAACGGTGCCCAACTACATTCACTGGTATAATCCGATGTAGACCAGCCGGTACGACATGAACTGGACCTACACTGGCCTCCCCTAGTTAGTGTCTCCTCCTTATGGAAACCACAGGGCATTGCAGCACTTATCTGAATGGATGATCCTCCCATGCAACCGCGCGGCTACTGGCGCTGCTTCCCTCCACAAACCAGAGTAGAGGTGACGGCCATGCTCTATATCCTGTTTTCTAATAAAACTCACCCCATCTGACAACCTGCTGACTCAGCACAGTGGCAGGTGCACAGGTCCCCCCCACCCCTGGTGACCCACAGGGGAACTCTGTAGGCAGATGATGATGATTCTGATGAACCCTCTATTGAAAAACCATTATATTGACGAGTCACCATTACTCACTAACCACAATGGCCGCTGAACAACCATCCTCCTGTCCGTCAAAGAGCCAGAACTAGTGACAGCATCAAGGAGTAAGTCCCGGTCACACTGGATGCGAATTGGCATGTGATTTGCATGCCATGCAACTTGATAATCGCATGCCAAGTCGCACCGTATTGTCTGCAATTACAGCGGTCATATAGGTTCGGTTCTGACTTGGTTTGAGCACTGATTTTTAAAGTAGTACATGCACTGTTTTTGGTGCGATTTGCATAGACATCTGTGTCAGATGTCTTGCAAATTGTATCTAAAAATCGGCATGTCATCCAATGTTGAAATCGTATAACTTCCCTGTAAGGTGCACGATAGCAAAGTGGGGTTTGGTGTGACCGGGGTGTAAGGCACACAGCATCTCATCACTCCTTACAGTCACTACACTCCTGGCCAATCATCAGAAAACTTTACTGATGAAAAGGCAGCAGAGCAAAAAGTTCACTGGAAGGGAGAGAAAATGAGTATGTAAGGAGAATTTCCCAACTGAAGTTGCAGTCACAGAAGGCGCCTGGCACTCAGCCACCTGTCAGCGCTGCACTGACATCCTGATCTCAAGTCATTGAGCTGTAGATCCGCAAGCTGATATTTCCCCCTCTCTCCTGCCTGGAGTGCCCCGGCGCCTTCTCTCGTCCGTTACAGGAAACGTCCGGCAGGTCAGCCAAAAACACACAAAAGCCGGCTTGAAGGTGATTGGCTGCTTCAAAATGTATTAAAAAAAAAAAAAAAAGCCTTGTGCATCATTTGACAGGAGAGAATGTCAAACTGTCAACCTCAGCCTGACACCCCAAACATGACCCCTGAGTCATCCTACCATGTAGATACCACCATTTACCCATGCATGGCCAGAGGAAAAGCCTCACCGTTAACCCCAAGGTGACCAGAGTCAGAGCCCAGTCGTGCCATTAACCCTTGTATGACTGGACTCAAATCCCAACCTCACCATTAACCCCTGCAATGACCAGAGTCGGAGCCCAGCCCTAAGACTATCCTCTAAGGACCAGAGTCAGAGCCTATAAAGCATTCAATGGAGAGAGGTAGAGTACAGCATCACTGTTAACCCCTGGGTGACCAGAGGCTGATCTTAGCCTTACCATTAACTCCTGAATGAACAGAGGCAGAGCCCAGCACCACTATTAACCCCAGGATGGCCAGACTGCGCACAGACTCATCATTAACCCCTGCATGATCAGAGACCAGCCTTACCATTAACCCCAGCATGACTGGAATTAGTGTCCAGCCATACCATTAACCCTTACATGGGCTGAGCCCAACCTTGCCATTAACCCCTGGGTGACCAGAGTCAGTCTAAATGTGCCATTAACCCCTGTATGACCGGAGTCATTAACCCTTGCCTGGTCAAAGGCAGAGACCAACCTAGCCATTAACCCCTCGTTGACTACAGTCAGGTACCAGACCCATTGATAACCTCTGTATGACTGGAGTCACAGCCCAACCCCTCCATTAACACCTGCATGCCAAAGTCAGCACCCAACCCCACTATGCCAAAGTCAGGGCCCATCCCCACCATTAACCCCTGCATGCCAAAGTCAGCACCCAACCCCACCATGCCAAAGTCAGCGACCATCCCCACCATTAGCCCCTGCATGCCAAAGTCAGGGCCCATCCCCACCATGCCAAAGTCAGGGCCCATCCCCACCATTAACCCCTCCATGCCAAAGTCAGGGCACATCCCCATTAACCCCTGCATGACTGAAGGCAGAGCACAGCTCCCACTGTTAACGCCTTGGTGACCAGAGTCAGGACCCAGACCCACCATTGACCCCAGCTTTACCAATAACCCCTACATGACCAGTCTGAGCTCAGCCCCACCATTAACCCTTGCATAATCAGAGAGGCACAGCTCAGCCATTAACCCTTGCCTAGCCAAAATAAAAGCCCAGCCAGACAATTAACCTCCTGATGGGCCCCTGGGTGACTGGTGCAAGCACCTCATGTGTCTAAGAGTGGTGTTTAGCCTTATTACCCGATAAGGGGAAGAATGCAACTGAAGGTGGGGGGGGGGGGTTTGGGGGAGGCAGTGAAGAGAAGGGCACAGGCTGCCAGAATTCCTTCATAGGCTCTTTTGAGTTTGGGCAAGGACACAGGGGCCCCATGATCCCCTATTGCCCGGGGGCCCCATGAGTTGTCAGTCCACCCCTGTTCACAACAATGTTATTGGTAATGCTATCTGCCTGGCTGTCATGTCGATCCTCTGGCTTTGACACTTTCTAGGTGCATGCAGAGTTAGAACCGCAGATCTGCATACTCCTTTCAGAAACAGATCAGAGTGACAGCCAAGCAGTTGGTAGAGCAGGTCAGCAGCGATGACAGCCCCACGATCCTCCCATGACAGGTTCCCTTTAGCTTTGCTATTACTACCTCCAAGATTGTGTCTAGGCTGGTGGGGGCTGCATAGGGATGAGGGTCAGGAAGGTAAATGCGGGAGGTGGCAGAGGGTCGGTATCGGTACCTGCGCCGTGCACTCATCTCTCGGTCTGTCTCGCCATCTTCTCTGCACTTTCCCGCGAATTACAGACGTTTCACTTCTGTCATCGCTCCGCCCACCATGCCCGCCCCGAACCGCTATTGGCCGCCCGCCCACCGGTTTCCCGCCTCTGCTGTCATTGTGCCCCACCCCTTCTGTCATTCTGCCCCGCCCCCTTGTGCTGTCAGCTTCTTCCCGGTCCTCTGTGATTCCAGAACTTGTTCAATCACAGGGACCGCTGCTGCCGGTGTCACCCCCATCCTCTGCTAGTCCTAGACACAGCTCTCACCCTTCACACTGTGATCCTGCCATCTCCGCTATCATCTATACATTCTCTATCATCCTTGTCCTCTGCTAGTCCTCTCCGGCGATCCCCAGAGCAACTCGCGGCAGGAAAATGCAGCCCGAAGTGTCACTAAAGTCAAAACTTTTCTTTTTAGTTTTGGATCTAGTGGAGAGCAATGAGAACCCGTGTCAGTTTTGATTGCAGTCTGTGCATCCATTAGGGAGATCCGCCCTCTATTTGTCCTGTCTACAATTATTATTGAAAATGAAACTAAAAGAAAATCCCTCATTTGGGGTGTCCCCAGAAAAGTAATAGAGGAGAAATCTTCCAATGGAGACACTGGTTCTGATGAGCTGGAGGTCCCTAAGGAATTCCCTTACCCTAGGTTCACATCTGTGCAGGTAGTGCTGCTGCGGATCCGCACGAAAATCTGTGCTGCCGCACCACCAGCACAGAGAAATGTGGACC